GTGTGGAGGCAAGTTTTTTTTCCTTTATATTTTTATTTTACAAGTTTTCTATAATAAGCTTGAATTATTTTTGTAGCCAGAGGTTTTTGTTTTTAAGAGAACACACATTATGCTTTGCTTACATTATAAGGAACAAATTGGACTGGCCTTGGTAAGTCCAAGACAAAGAATCTGCTTCCAGATTCTTGGCCTAATTAGTGGCAGGATATTTAGCAAACTCTTCAGGGTTAACTCTTTGTCTGGAAAGGAGTAGGCAGGGAACCTTCTGATGAAAGCTGCTTGTAGGACCATCAGTTGGGATCTTCCTGCAAGATTGTAGATCCAATTTAACTGTCCCAAGAATCTACTATAGAAGCCAGGGAGGGCTTACTCGGCCAGTACATGTCAGGTGCAACCACCCTGGAAGGGAGGGGTTGTGATGGGAGACAAGATGACCCAGTCCTCAAGGAGCAAATAGGGCATTCTGTCACCAGTGATATGCACAGGGTATGACTGGTGTCCTCAGAGTAGAAAACACAGTAGGGCCAGCTTCCTGAAAGACTGGATAGAGACATGGAAGTTGATATTTCTCTTCTTCTCTGGGTGAATATAGTCCTACCTTTGGGCTTTTACTTGAGCCCTTCCCTCTACCTGAAATGTCATCTCCCCATCTTATCTCTGTAGGATTCCTGCTTAACTTTCCTTCTGAGTAGTTAGGTAGAATAACAAGAAGTCTACATCCTGGTGGGTTATGAGCGCTGGGAGTCTGTCACCTTATCTGCTCTGGCTCTCTGGAGGTGCCCCTGCTGGAAGAAACCTCACACACAAGGCAGGGACAGGGAAAATGCTGGAAGGAGGGTGCTGGTGTTTCTATATATCTTGTTTCATTTTGTTGTGGTTATTGATATTGTGGCTTTCATTTCCTTTCTCTTTAGCTACCCTGACTGGACTGGTCACCCTCTACCCATACAAGCCCAAATACGTGAAAAGAACATTCTCCTGGGTTTTTCCAGGCCCCAATCAGACCCATCCATCCTGTGGTCTCAGTATAGGCACAGAGCTCAACCCAGCAGTGTTAAGGTCCAGGAGGGACAGGGGTGTGGCCTGTTGGGAAGGGAAGAGAATTCACAATCCCCACTGCTGCTTAGCCTCTAGGTGAACCCACCCTGAACATCTCTGATTTCTGATGGGTTAGGCTGCCCTAAACCCTCTCTGCACCTCCTCCAATGTCCAGTGTTATAGATCAAGAACTAAAAGATTTTTTATATGGAGCCCAAGTTCTGTGTCTGGTCACTCACCTGGTCCAAACCAGAAATAGTGTCTCTAGAGGAGGGTAATAGAAAGTATCCCATTCCCTTATGAACTCTGTTCATTCTCTTCCTCCCAATCATGGCAGATATCTAAGCAGAAAGGAGCAATAGCTGCATGACCTGACCTTGCTGCTTGCATCCCTGCACACCTGTAGCTTAACCTGTTGAATAACAGTAATTTATAGATGAGGGCTAGAAAGGAGAGAAGACATTTACTGTGACTACCAGACTTCTCTTGTCTTTTCTTTCCTGTTCTGCCTGCCTAGCCTGGCATGGAGGCCACTAGGTTAATCTTTGACTAAGAAGCCACACAGGATACATTATGGTTCTGTTTACATTCTGTCAGAAAGTGGAATAATTTAAGGTAGTCCCTCTCTCTCTCTCTCTCTCTCTCTCTCTCTCTCTTTCCCCCCTCTCTCTGGTGGTACTAGAGATTAAACCCAGGGGTGCTCTATCACTGAGATACATCCTCATCCCTTTTTACCATTTTTATCTTTTTTGAGGGTCTTCTAGGGTGCCAGACTGGTCTTGAATTTAGGATCCTCCTGCCTCAGCCTCCCAAGTATCTGGGATTATAGGCAAGCATCACCACACCACGCAGGGCAGTACCTCTCAAAAATGAATGTGCAGGGTGATGTGGGGATCTTGTTAAAGTTCCTGGTTCTAATTTGGTGGTTCTAGGGTGGAGCCTGAGAGTCTGCATTTCTAATAAGTTCCTGATACTTCAGGAGGTATGGCCTGTTCTGTGAAGATGATCAGAGACCCAATGTCAGAAATAATCTCTCTGTCCCATCAGTTTTTGAATACCCTGCTCAGCTCTTTTCATATCAGCCCTTGTCATCTAAGACTGCCCTCATCTGTACCCACCCTTGCAAGTCCTGGGGCTGCTGGAACAAGTAATCTTGCCTGTGTGTGTGTGTGTGTGTGTGTGTGTGTGTGTGTATGCGCACACACGCATACACGCATACACATGCACGTGCAGTATTAGGGATTAAACTGAGTTATATCCCCAGCCCTTTATATTTTATTTTATTTTGAGACAGAGTCTCACTAAGTTGCCCAGGTTAACCTCAAACGTGTGACCCTCCTGCTTCTGCTTTCCAGATAAGTAATCTCTTTAACCCTAATCTCTAGCATAGCTGGGCACAGTAGCGCACACCTGTAATCCAAGCAGCTCAGGAGGCTGAGGCAGGAGGGTCATAAATTCAAAGCCAGCCTCAGCAACTTAGTGAAGCCCTAAGCAACTTGGTGAGACCTTGTCTCTAATAAAATATAAAAAAGGGCTGGGTTGTGGCAGACTGCTTAAGTGTCCCTGGGTTCAATCCCCAGTACCCCCCACACACAGAAAAGAACCTAATTCCGTGCATTGTGGATATCCAAGTGAAGACCATTTATAAAAGGCATAGATTGTTAGGCAAGATTTCAGAAGTTCTCCTTACTGCTCCTTAGGACAACAATTCTGAGAGTTATTAATATATCCTCGTTAAATGCAGGACAGAGGAATGGAAAAGTTCTGTAATCACATAACCTAGGAAATGCTGGATGAAAAACAGGCACCTGAAGGGTTTCTTAAAGACTTGAATAAAATGGTTGTTGCCAGTGTCCAAGAGAGATCCACTATGCAGCACTGCCCTCGCTTCCTTCACCACAAAGAATATCCCTTGAGAGGCTTTCATGGGGCTAATGTGCTGAGGAAGAAGGGGACAATCATCACTCTAGTGTTATCTGAAATATTGTAGATTCAAATTAAGGGTTCCAAAGGAGGTCTAGAGAGAAAATAGCTAACTATGAGAAATAAAGAGAGTGGGGTGTTTCCCTTATGGACAGGACACAGTGGGACTCTCCCTACTCTTCTGAATTCCTCTGGGAGAGCAGTAAGGAGAACTTCTGATTCCTTCTTTTCCCTCTAACTCCCTGAAGTAGCCAGGAAGAGGAGGCTGGAAAACCTGGAGAAGAAAACCTGGAGGACCACTTGATGCTTAGGGTATTAAAGACTAAAGACTCCTGCCAGTACCTCCAGGAAGAGCTTTATTCCAGCTAGAAAGCAGGAGACCATATTACACAACGCTATAGCTGAGATTAAGCTTGAAATAAACTAAAGGAAAGAAAAAGTCTAGAAAATGCCCCCAAATGAATCCAAGATATCATTTACCTTAAACAGTTGTTCTCAACTGGAGATGATTTGGCCAACACCTCACCCCTCCCACTGGATATTTAACAATATTTGAAGACATTTTTGGTCATCTCTCTGAGGAAGGGTGCGCTACTGGCATCTGGTGGGTAACAGGGATGTGGAACATCCTATGATGCACAGGATACCCACCCACACACAACAAAGAATTATCAGGCTCCAAATGCCAATAGTGCCACTGTTGAGAAATCTTGCCTTAGGTTGGAGATGGAACTCGATGGTAGAGCACTTACCTAGCATGAAAGAGAAACCTTGCCTCAAAGTTGTTCTAAACTATCATCATTAATAAATGACTGTTAATTGAAGTTATCATTAATTTAAATTTAGAATGTTGCTTAAATTCAGCTATTTTTCCACCAAAAAATGGGAGAAATTTATTCAGTAGAAGAAATTCATGATTATCAATACGAAGATCCAAATCCTGGTCAATGATATTATTTTGTCAATTTACGCCATGACACAAACAATACTACATGTTTTACAAGGAGATATAGAAATAGACAGAATCAGCAAATATTTCCTTTAATTCAAAAGTTTAGGACATTGTTTAAATTTAACTGGGTTTAGCACCAAAACAACAACCACAAAACTGAAGGCATTTGTGGGGCTAACTTGCCACAAAGAAGGTGATAAGAGAACCAACAGATAAACATGAATAGAGAAGGGGAATCCCAATCCTGGTAACCTAATTAGAGAAATTCTCACACAGGTCTATTATGAAACATGTAAGAAGGTATTTTTGATGGTAAAATATTTGTGGTGATTGAAGAGCAATGGGTAAATGACTGTTAATTGAAATTATCATTAATATAAGTAAAAATGTGATGTATGTACACTTTATAATCTACCACAATAAGGAGCAATGAACTAGATATACATACAGCAACATAAAGACATCTTCAAAACATGATGCTGAATTGGGAGGAAAAGAAGTAAGGAACAGAAAGAGAACTCCAACACAATACTATTGATTGAAATGTAAAATGCATGCCCACAAGATGATACCAAATGCTTTCAAGAACACTCACAAGTAGAATGATCTTAGCCATTGCACAAATTGAACAGTTGAAATTTTGGGATTTAGGCATCATTGCCACCTGGTGGTAGCAGTTCAAATTGAGGTATCATTCAAGATTTTTTCTTATTTGTTTTGTTTTGTTTTCCCATATAGTTTTTATTGGTGCATAATTATACATAATAGTGGATTCATTGTTACATATTCGTATGTGCACAACATAGCAGTTTTTAAAAAAACAAGATATAATTTACATACAAGGAAATAAACATATTTAAAATTCAGTCATGCGTCACTTAATGACCAGGATGTGTTCTAAGAAATGTGTCATTAGGCAATTTTGTTGTGTGAACATCATAGGGTATACTTACGCTGATCTAGATGGTATAGGTCAATCATGGCATGTTGCCTTTTGATGAAATCAAGTGGTGCAATATACACGAGATGTATGTGGTTGGTGGCAGTATCACACAGCATATTGTTTTACAGTAAGCCTTTTTTTTTCTGAAGTAGGAGTACACACTAAAATAACAAAAATCATAGTATGGTAAATACACAAGCTAGTAACATTGTTGTTTATTGTCATTTTAAAATATCTTGTACAACACATAATTGCTATACTTGTACGTAACTGACAGTGCAGTAGGTTTGTTAACACCAGTATTCCTATAAACACTTGAGTAATGCACCATGATGATACAATGCTAGAACATCACTAGGTGAAAGAAATTTTTCAGCTCCATTATAATCTATGGAACCATCATTGAATATGCTGCCTGTTGTTGAATGAAATATTATACAGAAAACAACCGTATTTAATTTGATTGATTCTATTTTTTTTTTTTTTTTTTTGGTACCAGGGATTAACCCAGGGGTGCTTAGCTACTGAGCCACAACCCTAGCCCATTTTCTTTTTATTTTGAGATAGGATCTTGCTAAGCTGCTTAGGACCTCACTAAATTGCTAAGGCTGGCTTTGAACTCTCTTCTCCTTCTGCCTCAGCCTCCTGAGCTGTGAGCTGTTGGGATTACAGGCGTGTGCCACCATGCCTGGCTTAATTTGATGTATTTACAAGTATATACACTTATGTAATCACTTATCTAAGAATACATAAAGCATTTCCTTCCCCCCAGAAAGTACCATCCTGTCATTTCTACTAAATCCTCCCATGCTCTACCTACCCTGAAAGTAACAACATATCTGTTTCTGACACTATATTTTGTAGAACTTCATAAGCATGGAATTATACAGTGTATACTCTTGTGTTTTTTTTCTTCTGGGAATTACATTTAAAAAAATTTTAGTTGTAGATGGACACAATATCTTTATTTTTATGTTGTGCTGAGGTTTGAACCCAGTGCCTCATGCATGCAAGGCAAGTGATCTACCACTGAGCTACAACCCCAGTCCCTGGAAATCACATTTTTGACACTCAATCATGTTGTAATACATATCAATAATTAATTTATGATATTGCTGAATAGTATTCCACTGAAGGGATGTACCACAATTTATCTATGCACCAAACATGAGCTGTTTCCACTTTTTGACTATTGTAGATAAAACTACTATCAATGTTTAAATATGAGCCTTTGTGTGGACAATATTTTTTAATTCATCATGAATGATTCTATGCTGGGTCATAGGACAGATATATGTGTCATTTTTTAAAGAAACTGCCAGAATGGGCTGGGGATGTAGCTCAAGTGGTAGTGCGCTCACCTGGCATGCGTGCGGCCCGGGTTCGATCCTCAGCACCACATACAAACA